AGATTAATTTGGTATAAATATCTCATTTTTGAATCTGAGGGTCGAAACCCACTTTTTCCTAGAACAGCCCCCATATGTTCTGATATTAATATAACAATAAATGCAGTTGTCACACGGATTACGAATTAATATTAATATATTAAATATTAGTAATAGTAATAAAAAGTTTGACTACATCAGGGAAATAGTAACGCTAAAATCATTCTATTAATATGTAACAATGATGATAATAATATAAATAAATTATAACAATAGTAATATTGTCAAATTCGGTTATTTTAAGTGTTTATAAATTCTTCAATGAATACCAAAATATGAAAAGTTACATTATGTTGTAATACTGTAAACCTTTTAAATATTGTTCTTTTAGTTTCAAAAAAAAAACTATATATTGTTCGTGTAATCCTTTTTATCCTCTTTAGTAAACTCGTGTATCTTTAAATTAATTATATCTAGTAGAAAAATTATCTAAATATTAAAAAAAAAACCAAATTCTTTTTTGTTCTTAATTTTTTTTAACTTCACCTCTTCATACTAGCATTCTTTCACATTTTATTCTTCAAAAATTTCAGATACATAACTATAAATTTTTTAAAAATGGGATTTTTTGATGAACCGATTTTACTTCTATCATATGAAGGATGGATTTTTGGTCTTGCAACAATGGTAAAATTTTGAGATTAAATAATTAAATTTTTACCTAAATATCATTTAATGTATTTTAAATTATTTTTTTTATACATAGGTCCATCTACATAATCTTATTGTCTCGATATTTTTATATAAATCTCGACAGACTAATATCTCAAATATTTGTAAAATCATGTTTAATTTTGGTGGGATTCTTGTATTTATATGCAACTTTTGGAATATAGTTGTTCCACTTGACGTGACTCTAGATGAATGCAGAGGAGTTTCCTATACATTGGCATTAGCGAACATTACTTATAAAAGTTCTTTGGCTGCATTCTTATTATGGCGTTTAAGACAGATTGAGAGCAAGAATTTAGATTATTGGTTAGGCATTGGATTATTTTTTAGCAGATTCGGCTTTCATGTAAATATTCACTTTATTCTATATTTTTGTGATTAATTCATTTAACTAACCGATTAATGATAATATCCATTTGAAAAATTAGTTTGCACAAATATTCCAAATTAAACCAGAAGTAAGGTTTGACGAAGGCGAAAATGCATCTTATTGTATACAAGGAATTGATATTGCCAAAATTCCATTAATGGGAGCCATTATATTTGATTTAATAATTGATTTCTATGTCACAATCCGGTTAATCCAAATTTTAAGTAGAGCAAATAAAAATGCTTCACAAATCACATCAAATATTACAAGAAAAACAAAAAGAAGTTTATTTACAGCAGTAATGTACTGGAATTTTATTCGATTAATCTTGGCAGCATCTTTCAATGCTCTTCTCCTATTTTACACGGTACTTGGATTTTACAGAGACCAAGTTCCAACAATTTCAGCAACTTCTTTAACTTTACAAGCCATACTCGGTATTTTATTGTCATATGCCCTAACTGCTGATGCAGAAATAGTGAGAGTAATCGAGGGAAAGAATAATGTTAACGGATCTAGTATTAACCCAGCTGGAACTGGGAAATCATTCAAAAATATGCCACAAACCCCTAAAAGTACATCATCCCATTACCAAACATCTAGTGAACCCCCAAAATATTCAACAGGAAATTACAGTTTCTCGAAAAATGAAAAACCAGAATCTAATGATATCGGTGACAATAAAATTGCCGTTGTGTCGATGAAAAGACTGTCGTTCTTCGAGTGGGCAAACGTAATAGTGGGTAATAAACTTGTCAAAAAGGATAACGATATAGCAGATGAAGAAAGCGGCATTGAAATTGTTGAAGAAAACGGCATTGAGATTGTTGAAGAAAATCCTGAAGTTGCAGGCAATCATAGTAGAAGTAATAACCAGAATCGAGATAGTAGTTTTAGTGGTACAACAACCATAACAACTACAACATCATCATCCACAACTGATGATGAAGATATTGTATAAATTTATTTTCATCTGTCATTCCTTACGACTAATTGTAAATGAACAAAAAAAGAATTTCATAATCATCAAAAAAAAAACAATTTCATCGTTTATTTATTTTTATTTTATTAACTTAATTAATTAATTTATTTGTAATATTAATTTTATTGTAATTTTATAATGATACCCGTGAAAAAATTCAAAGATATTAATAATTGTAAAAAAAAATATATATAACACTCATTAATTATAATATTAATAAAAAAAACATGAACGAAAGAGTAGTAAATTTTAATTTACATTATTGCTTTATTTTCCTAATTTTATCATTTATTTATTAACTTAATTTATCTGTAATTTTATAAGGATACCCGTGAAAAAATTCAAAGACATTAACAATTGTAAAAAAAATATACAACTCTCATTAACTAATATTTACATTATTGCTTTATTTTCCTAATTTGACACCCATTTGCTAAACCAAAAGCAGCAATAAATTTGTAATGTTTAATTAATCTTGTGATACATTGATTGATAAATAAACCTTTATATGGATAAGAAAGAAGTATTTAAATAATCCCGAAAATAGCATAGTGGAAATTTGAAATGTTACACTAATTTTTTATATTGTGCAACGTAGCTTTACAATACATGGCAAACATTCTGGCAATAAAAAGTAAGCGATAAACTGGATCTCCAATTTAGAGAAGTTTCAGGAGCAATGAGTTCTGTGTGACATTTTGTGTAACAAACTTCCACTATGCTTCCGAAAATAGAAAGGACCTAGCTCAGAAATAGCAATTCGTCACGAAGATTAATTCTAACTTAAAAGTATATCCGACAGAAATTATTGCTCGTAATAGTCGTATTTGAGATTTTATAAAGAAACTATATATAATGTCAATCCTTCTTAAGGATATTCCATTTAATATTTAATTGACCTCTACATAAGGATCTGCGGAGGAAAATTTTGCTAATTGACGACTTTGTATAAAAAATGGTACTATACTTTTTTACTCTAAAATATTTTTTTTTGTTTTGCGTTATGAAACTAATGTCAAGAACATATTTATGCATTTTTTTCAAGAATATCGAAAAAAAAAGTGATTATTCTTGGGGATGTAGGGATGAGTGAAATTTTTCATATCAGTCAGACAAGATTTCACGCGATCGACATAACAGTTGCACCAATTGATGAGGTTGAAACTTCTTCACTAAAATATAAGACACAAAAAACAAATGAGGAACTTGAAATTCTTCAAGAAGTGTTTAATCATCCTACAGACTTACCAAAGGAAGTAACAAAAAGATTATTTGAAAATCTATTTAAAATAAATAATTCATGGTCATCTACTAAAGTTAGGAAATATTGGTATAATAATGTAAAAAGAAAATAAAAATAAAATTACATTGAATTATTGCTTTTAATTACTTCTTTGATGCATTCTATCTAAATTAGATAATTCAATAAAATTAATATAATGATCTAATTAAAAAAAAATTTAATACTAATATAAATAGTCATAAATAACTTATAAAATTGTTTTTGCCTTTAATTTCTTCCACCTTCAAGAAAACCAAACGAACCATATATTTTCTGAGAATTCTCAATGTACTCTATCTTATGATGCTAAAATGACCTTAATAGAATTAATTGTTTTTCATAAATAATTAGGCCTTTAAAGTCAAAAAGTATGGGTCTCTTTGGGAAGCTATTGCACTATAACAAAACAAGCTATTGACAAGCAAAAAATTGAATTTAAACAAGATTCTGTTTATTTAGAAGCATAAAAATTGTTTATTGATCTTGTATTCAATTCTTCCTGTTGTACAAAAAACATGCAATGTCGATCATATAGTAAAATCAGTAAGCGTGAAATCTTGTCTGACTAATTACTGTATTACAAATTAATTAATTTTAGAATGTTCAAATTTCAAAAAATTGCGATTTCGTGATTCGTTCTAAAATTTTTTAGAAAAAGTTTCAACGTGTTAAAAAATTATTTTCCTTACTGCCAAATTTAGATATTATGGTCGAGTATTAGTCTAAATGAGCAAAAGAGAGTCTAAATTTAACGATGATCCTAGCGAATTTCTCATGAGCATAGTAAAGTAAATGTTTTAAAAAAGAATAGAACTCTACAACAAAGAATTTTTTTGAGAAAATCTCTTTATTACGTAAAAAATAAATACATGTTCTATCAAATAATAAGCTATTTTTTTAAAGATATGACAAAAAATGACTTTATACTTTTAAATTTTGTTATTACATAAAAAATAAATACATATTCTATCAAATAATGAGCTATTTTTTTAAAAGATATGACAGAAAATGACTTTTATACTTTTAAAATTTGCGCAAAATTTAGGAGGTCTTTAGACCGAGCCAACTATATTTAATTTTAAAAATTTTTTCTCACGTTTTTTAAGCAAGAAATTAATTTAATAGCTTTATTTTTTTTATAATTATAGCTAATAAGCAAACAGCCACTAAATTAATTATCATTATCATTATTGCTTTTACTTCCGTAGTTGTTGCCGCCGTGATCGTTGCCACGGTTAAAATTTCAACAACAGCCATAAAAAACAGTCTTTTGTCATTTCTATCACCATTTGGATCCTGTTCAGGTATATTGTTGATATTAATAGTATTAGTCGGGATGTTTAAGTTTTGGTGAATACGATAGTCTCCAGAATAAGTTTCGCCAGGAACAGTGTGAGCACTTGATTGTTCGTTAGAAGGAACATTACTTTGATGATTCATTGTGTTTTTATTTTTTATTAATTTATTAATACAAAATCTCCGGATGAAAAATGATTATTTAATATTAAAAAGAAAGAAAATAATTGACATTTTTATAATAATCTATTGTTACACTTAAAAATGTTGTATATATCAGCTGTCTTCAGGGAAACAATTTTATTTAAAGGTATAGGTAACACGACACTTGCTATTGAAAAAAAAAATTTACGTAACACACACTGAGAAACCAATAGCCGTAAAACAATAATGAATTTCGAGATATTAAATGGCGGGTGTTTTAATTTTAACATTTGAAAAAATAATCATTATTACTTGTTGTTATAAAAATTTCATTTTCCCCAAAAATATACACATATTTCATCACACAAACTTGCCTGATTTAATCAAATAAACCTTTATTTTGATGTATTTTTTGCCAGGGTGAACAAATACCACTAAGCGATAATCTTAACATGAAGTTGGACTACCAGTTCTATAAGCTATAATTGGGCTTAATTTTTTTTACATAATAATAATAATGAACATTTTACCTAATAATATTAATATATTAATATAAATTGCTGGATGAAATAGAGGATTGTATCAAACAAAATTTATTGATATTTATTTAATATTTTCAAACAAAAACAAATTCGCGCAACAGACTCTTTTCAAGAATGGCTATTAAATAATTTGGTTTTTTTATAAAAAATAATAGAAAATGGATAAAAAAATTAGTAATATATAGTATGAAGCTAATCTTTAAAAATATTATATATTTAGAAGTGTAATGATTAAATTAAAGAGTATTTATTTATTAATGCATTAGCAGGATCTTATGGAGATGATATTAATATGTAATATATATAGGTTAAAAGAAAAGAAAATTTTATTAATGATTGTTAATGGTTTTATTTATACATGTATATATTAATATAAATAAATAACATATAAAATTTTGAGTTAAAGTCATATCAATTGACCAGAAGATGACAATTATTTCAAGATTACAAGCACCGATGTTACTGCAGTTATTAAAGGTATATTAATCTATTTAGGGTTTCTATTCGAATAAGGTTTATTCGAATTATTCACTTTATTCGTTATGAATTTGAGTATTCGAAAGTTTATTCGAATAAATTTTAATTCGAATAAAACGAATAATTCGAATAAGAACAATACGTAGATTGACGAAATTAATTAATTCGTGATCCGTGAAACATCTGCAAAATTTTCATAACAGAATTTGGCGCAAAATTTTGCAGATCACTAATTAAAATTTTCTGGACTCCAACTTTCACCCCCAACGTAACCACCCTTTATGTTGATATAAACTAAAATTGTACTTTTAACACATGATATG